CGCATGTTCCAGATCACAGTATACCTGTCTACCAGTTCCGGTAGCAGAATTTAACATACAGTTTACCAGTCAACTAGTTCAGGTAGCAGGACTTTACACGTTGTTTACCAGTCTACCAGTTCAGATAACAGGACTTTACACACAGTATACCTGTCTACCAGTTCTGATAACGGGACTTTCAAATAGTATATCTGACTACCAGTTCAGATAGCAGGACTTTACACATAGTATACCTGTCTACCAGTTCAGATAGCAATACTTTACACACAGTATACCTGTCTATAAGTTCAAGTAACAGGACTTTACACATTGTATACCTGTCTACCAGTTCAGATAACAGGACTTGGTACACATAGTATACCTGTCTACCAGTTCAGATAGCAGGACTTTACACACAGTATACCTGTCTACCAGTTCAGATGCAATACTTTACACACAGTATATCTGTCTACCAGTTCAGATAGCAGGACTTTACACACAGTATACCTGTTTACCAGTTCATATAGCAGGACTTTATACACAGTATACCTGTCTACCAGTTCAGATAGCAGGACTTTACACACAGTATACCTGTCTACCAGTTCAGATAGCAGGACTTTACACTCAGTACACCTGTCTACCAGTTCATATAGCAAGACTTTACACACAGTATACCTGTCTACCAGTTCAGATAGCAGGACTTTACATGCAGAATACATAGAAGGACTTTACACATAGTATACCTGTCTATCTGTTCACGTAGCAATACTTTACACACAGTATACCCATCTACCAGTTCAGATAGTAGGACTTTACACACAGTATACCTGTCTACCAGTTCAGATAGTAGGACTTTTCACACAGTATACCTGTCTACCAGTTCAGATAGTAGGACTTTACACACAGTATACCCGTCTACCAGTTCAGATAGTAGGACTTTACACACATTATACCTGTCTACCAGTTCTGGTAGCAGGACTTTACACACAGTATACCTGTCTACCAGTTCAGATACCTGTCTACCAGTTCAGATAGCAGGACTTTACACACATTATACCTGTCTACCAGTTCTGGTAGCAGGACTTTACACACAGTATACCTGTCTACCAGTTCAGATAGCAGGACTTTACATGCAGAATACATAGAAGGACTTTGCACATAGTATACCTGTCTATCTGTTCACATAGCAATACTTTACACACAGTATACCCATCTACCAGTTCAGATAGTAGGACTTTACACACAGTATACCTGTCTACCAGTTCAGATAGCAGGACTTTTCACACAGTATACCTGTCTACCAGTTCAGATAGGAGGACTTTACACACAGTATACCCGTCTACCAGTTCTGGTAGCAGGACTTTACACTCAGTATACCTAGCAGGACTTTACACTAAGTATACCTAGCAGGACTTTCCACTCAGTATCCCTCGCAGGACTTTACACTGGGTATACCTGTCTACCTGTTCAGATAGCAGGAATTTACACTCAGTATACCTAGCAGGACTTTACACTCAGTATACCAGTCTGTCTGTTCAGGTAGCAGGACTTTACATATGGTATAGCAGTCTACCAGTTTAGATAACAGGACTTTACAGGGCCTGCTCTTATTTCATTTCAAGATATTTTTGAATGTGTGATAAACTTTAAGGGTCCTCCACAACCCATGACTTTTGGTGTGTTACTTTTATTTCCAGTTTTGTATAATTTGGTCACTGACAGTTTGCCTGGGACGGCTTTTGGGCTATTCATACAGAGTCTCACTTTAGAGGTGACAGTTTGTCAATGGAAAATAGTGTAGTTAACTGATAGCGACACTATTGTTTGTACACAACGTTGAAAGAGGGTGCGGCTGAGAAAAAAAGTGTCTTTCAATTAAAGAAGAGCAAGCCTTTAAGTTTTTTTAGCATAATGATTTTTTATAACAGTTACATGTATATTAAGGAGAAAATGTTTTTGTTTATATATTTTTTCATGCTGTCATGATATTGTCAATAAAATCTGTTATGAAAGCAGTTATTTTTGCAGACTGATTTATGCATTTCATTAATGAATATACCATTCAGAAATCTTGATAAAATTTGCATTTTTAGTTTTGCTTATTGATATCTGCATGTCCAGTCCAGTTGCCAGTAATAAATACAAAGATGAGTATGATGACATATGCATTATCCAACCTGTGTTTTGGAGTCCTAGGTAACAGGAAAGTTAACTCTCAATTGAAAGAGGAACTTTGAAACTAAGGATTTTGCAAATTATTTTTCTATATCAATGGATCTGATTTCAATTCAATTTCTTGTTGTAATCTAATTCATTAAATATTTCTCCTAAACAATCAGTAGTTTTTCCTAAATTTTCATCCACAGATTTGAGAGGAAATTACTTACTTTTTTTTATTATCTATTAATTTGATAAAAAATGTATTATGTCTGCTTAAATTAAATTTTTGTGGTTGTTTTGTGAGCTTAAAAGCATATGCTGGGAAGAAACAAATTTGATGTGTATACTTGTCAAAACTTGATGTGGAATTTTTTTTTTTAAATTTCCACATTGAGTTTTGACAAGTTTGAAAATAAATTTTTAGATAATTAATATAAATAATATTTTGATATCTATTTTTTTCATGGTGGATATGCTTGTTTAAAGTAATGCTGAATAAAAGTAGAAGTTAAAGTCACATACACGTATGCATGGCATATTTTTGATAAGTTAAGACTAACTAAAATTAAAAAGATCTTTCTATTTGTTTTATTACTTTATATATATAAAGATAGGCCTTTTCTGTAAATTACACAATTTAAATCAATCGCGTTTCATAGATATTCAAGCCCGTAGGAAGCAACTTCAGTTTGGGGGGGGGGGGCACAGCTACATTTTCAGTTGAGGGGGCACTATCAACTACCAAAAATTCCTTGACAAGCAAAAAAAAAAAAAAAGGTCATCAGACTTTTTTTTTTGAGGGGGGACAAGCAAATAACAGCTATGTTTTCTATAGTAAACTATATATCGTCAAAATTAAAAATTATTGGGGGGCACCCCCCCCCCCCAGTTCCTACGGCCATGATATTAGAAATTTAAAACAATAACAGATTTATTTACCGACTCCGCATTTAAATATCAGACACAGTTTAAAGTCAATTTAACAATAGAAACTTGGGGGTATTCAAGTTCAAAATCGGGGAAAATTTTAATTTGAACGTATATAACAAATATGTTCATCTACACTCAATCTTATTTTAAAATTTATTTTATAGCTCAGATATGCCATATATAGCTTTAAGCTAAAGGTATGTGGAGGACCCTTTATTGTATGATTTTTTTTTCATATACTACATGTATGTACTTAATAATTGTTAATATTTGTTGTCTGAAGAATTTGATTTAACATTTTTTTTACTTTGATGGTTAATTGTCATATACTCAGCATACATTGTTTGTAAAATGTATTATTTATATGTTGTTGTGAAAATAAAGAGCTTTTTAGGAAGTGTTACTTAAAAAAATCATGCTTGGTATGGTTATTAATTTTTATACATCCTTTTATTCAAACAGTACTCTATTTATTGTTTTGTATGTATATGCAACTATAACACATACTAGAATGCAATATTTTATTGAGAACAGTGTAAGAATGAAATAGGAAAAGAGAAAGTCTGAAACCATTGGAAAAAATATTCTACAGAAATTTGACATCAATGAATTTGTTATTAGGCAATTTATGCAGAGTAAAACCTGTTTTTTCCTTGAAATTCTCTTTACAGCTTTAAAGTAGGTTGAAAATACTGTAAACCAACTTTTATTTGCGTGCGAGAAATATTCGCGAGTTTCCCGACCTACTTTAACTTGCGAATATTAATCGCTGCGAACCAATTATTTTGCTTTGTATTTTTAGATAATGTTTCCTGAATCGTGAAAATTAATTGTCGCTGATTGATTTCAAACTGACGATTCACGAATAAAAGATGACTCAAAGAATACTTGGCCTACAGTATCCATGAATAAGTTATTAACTATGCAATTTTTGCAGAGCAAAACCCATTTGTTCTTTGAAATTCTCTTTACAATGACACATAGTAATGGGGGGGTTTACCCCTCCCCCCTTTTTTTTCGAAACATTACCTTTTGAAAATGTTCAAAAAAGAGCAGTTGGTCCTCTACTTTTTGTTGCAGTATAGGCAAATCATCCTGTCAGTGAACATTTTTTTTGGGGGGGGGGGGGGGGGCTTGTCAAAGATTTTTCAGGTAAATTTTCAAATATTTTTTCTGGCTCCCCCCAACTTTAATACTTTCAAAAATGATACTACATACCTGTGTCACTTTTTAAAAGGTTAACTGCATGTGTCAGTGATGATTTCCATGACTTTGACGAGCTATTGTTCCCCATGTTTTCCATGAAAATGAAAAATAATTTGGAGAAATGCTTAATTGATCATAATTATGTATGTTTTTGCTTTTATACTTCTTGACATTTCAAAAAAAGCAGTGATTACATGATTATGAATGGTCTGGGCTGTGGATATCGGCTTGGGTAGCTCAGTTGGTAGAGCACCTGACTAGACTAGTGATGCAGGGTTCCTGCATGGGTTTGATTCCCTGTCCAGCCATACTTTTTCTCCTTTCCTGTTACAATTATAATGGACAATGCCTGATCCCCCTATCAAAAATAAAATAGCTATTCCCACCCTTTGGAACCAGGATTATAAAGCTAAGTTATTCTTACATAGGAAATTTTAAAACTTGTGGATTGCATGCATGCAAAGAACAAGACAAATTGATATTCAGGTGACCATCAAGGCCCATGGGCCTAGTTCAGTGATCACTATGAATTGAATAGTGGCAAAAATAAAAGGTTTTTAGATAAGCAGCGATTCTTTTGAAGTACTGGAATACTTGTGAATTGTCAGAGTGAAACAGGAAATACTCTTTCATTCAGGCGTGAAGCTGCGAATGACTTTGCAGGCTAGCTGAAATTGGAATAGTCTAAAGTACGACTTATCTAGCTGAAACAAAAAAACTGGTATCATCAGGAGATATGGTACCAGTTTAGAAAACAAAGACAAGATGGCGATGGATTTCCAAATTGATGTGGAGGTACTCAAAAAATGGTATGCCCATCTACAATAACTGAGTTATATTCAACATTTTTATAGCTAGCGGGGAATTGGTGAAATTAAAATATTGTTTCCATTTTGTAACTACTGTGACATGGTTTGTATCAGGTACCTGATTTTTTTTTTGTCTAAAATATACATTGAACACCCAATTCTCATGATATCGCGGGACCGTTGTATCGCAGTATTTCCCAAATATTAGGATATATAGCACATATTCTTTATGTTAATGGACTGTCTTTCTGTTGTCTGATTGCCTGGAACACATACATGTGACAGAACTGAAAAATCACAACTGGAGATTTGAAATTTTTCAGCTGGAGTTTGGGTCTCAAAGCTGGAGATTTTTTATCGACATTTTTTCAAATCGCAAAAGACCATCCAACCCCCAAAATTCAGGAAAAAATACCTTCTCCCAGTTTATTCTTTACAAATTTTATTTTATAAAGTTGTTGTTTAGTTTTAAGAAAAATATGATAAAATTTTTATTCAAATGAAGTGAAATTAAGTATTCAAAATGAAATCAACTCATTTCCTAGTAAATTAATTAAGAGTTAACAGCATCATTAAAACATTGGATAAAATTTTATTTTTTGATGTAGTATTGATATATCAACTAGTAAGTGAAGTAAAACATAGCTAGGTTTTATGTTACAAATTCTATGCATGTCAGTAATTTGTTTTTAAATAGAATATGTACAGATGAAAAAAAGTACCCTCTAAAAAAATAAACAAATTAGAGTCAGGTATATTTTAGCAACACCCTGTAGTGTGATCTATTTTTAACTAAAGTGTGACCTACATTATAACTGTATCTTTTAATGACCAAAGCAGCATTAGAAGATGGCAACTGTGTATTTTAGCAACTAATTACAATGTTTTGCATTCAGTAATAAACATCAATGGTCTTTTATCAAGTTGATATATCACTAATTTTTACAACATAATTATACGACCTCAGGTTGATTCCTACGAAGCCTAACGTTACCTCCGCTGTGAAAATTTATTGCACTGGCGCGTTCTTATCTCAATTTCTTTTCATTCTGAGCAATTATGTGAAAGACGATCAAAATAAAATTTGAAAATAATATTTAATTTGAAGAATTTTAAAACACGGAAGATTTAAAAATTAATCGGGAGGGGCGGAAGGGGGGTGAAATATCGGGAGATTTTGTCTCCCGCCGGAAGAATCACATGTATGGGAACACACGGGGGTGGGGTGGGGTGTTACTTTCATTTCCCCAGAGTTTCGCTCTTGTGTAAATTATAAGAAGTAAGTAAGATTAGAATGAGTGCATATTGTTGATGATACGATGAACATAAATTATAAAAAGATTTATGACACCTTTGCATAATTACCAGTATCTGCTACAAAGACGGCGGCTTAGAGAGACGTGTAGAATTTGGAACACGTGTTGGTGATGTGATGCAGGGAAATAAACAATAAATAGCACATAACTTGTTTTGTAACAATGCATATATATCTACTATTGACCCTTGGTGTTTTTCTACTTTGTTCCGATTTATTTATTCTCGCTTGCACTCGATAGATTACCATATTTTTACATAATCAGTTTTGTTTACTGGACCGACATTTAGTAAAGCCACACTTCTGGTGCAGAAGTCACCTAAGTATATGACGTCTATTTGGGTACTACATCATGATTTACATTGGTAACATTGGGTATCCGGTGAAAATAGTATATATATATATATATATATATATATATATATATATATATATATATATATATATATATATATATATATATATACATGTATATATGTATATATATATATATATATATATACATGTATATATATATACATATATATACCAAGATTTACCAGTTGGAGACGGGGGATGAGTTGTGGTTACACACATACTTGAGGGATCGGAAATTTGAAACCAGAAAATGTAAGTTTGGGCAACAGTTCCATCAGACACCAAACATAACAAAAACTTAACAGTAATAAACAGTCTGTTGGGTGCCATTCATTTTAAGCCACCCTTTTCCTTCTGTTAAGTTCGTCTTCCATAATCATAAATGAACCAACTAAGATTAATTGGGTATTAAAATATATTTCATACTGTACCAATCTCAATAATTCTCTCAAATAAATTTATTGAAACTTGTAAAAATATTATTTTATTGACAACAGTATTTTTACATTGAAAGTCTCGGGTATGCTACACCTGTTTAAGACCCTCTAGACTATTGAGTAAATTTGAAATCAAATGTTGAATATAAATTATGGATGGATGCTGAATATGAATTAATTTTCTAGATTGTTAAGACAGGCCATTAGAGCCATCAAATGATAAACTGTAAAAAAAAAAAAAAAAATAAAAAAAAAAAATTAAGTTGATTGTGTTTTTGACAAAGTAGATTGTGTGTAATGGCAAATAAAGCCAATGACAGTTTGAGGTCCCTGATGAAAGTAACAATTCTTGACAATACACAAAATCAGAGTTAGTTACCTAGTAGCTGTTTTACTAACTTACATCATTCAACATTTAACCAGGTACTATTGACAACACTAGCATACACACAATGCAAGTAAACATTTTTATAGTGACAATGTGCCAGAAATCATTTAATGGTGAATCTTTTTTTCAGTATGGGAGGTGATTCCTTATACAAAGAGGCAATAGAGCACACAGCCAGCTTGAACATGAGGATGGGGATAGAGCGGAAACTGAGACTGCCATTCCTGGACTCTCAGACGGGGGTAGCACAGAGTCATACCTCCCTGTGGCATCCATACAAAGATAGACTACCAGGTCTGTAATAAAAGCATGTAACACAGGTTAGCTGATCACACTCAGGGGAAGTTACTCTAGATAGTTGCATTAAAACATATTTTATAATCTAGAGATTATCTGTGTTTAATTTTGAAAATTGTAAATTTTGACAAAAACTTTCCACAGGAGGAATAATAAACATTTTAAAAAGTTTTGTAGGAGTAATTTTCATATCAAATGAAAAAAAAACAAATTAGCACAATTTTTAAACAGGTTTTCTGTTGGAAAAATCCAGTTATTGAAATGGTGAAAATAGTGGGCAGCTGCCAACTGGGTACATCATTTGTCTGGATAACTCCTTCTAGTTTTCAAGATTGGAAGTTTTTATTTTGCAGAACAATTAGACATATATCAGGGATGTGCATGGTACTTGGATTTTGGAGAAAAAAAAAACAAAAAAAAACACCCCCTCCCCCTAAATTGACCAAAAAGTGAGGGGGCCAACTTCCCAAATTAATCTGACAAGCAAAAAAAAAAAAAAATCAACGGTCAAAATCCTGGAATTTGCCAGTGCTCGACCTTACTGCAACAAAAAGTGGGGATGCCAACCAGCATATAAAGGAAAATTTACTATAGCAGAATACTATACTGAGAAAAAGTAGGGGGCAGAGCCCTCCCACATTCTATGGGCCTGGTCACTTTGACAGCTTTGCCCTTGTTAATGGAAGTTGTCTGTAAATTTTTGTCCATAATATGTACACTATGAAAGATTTAAAAAAAAATGAGAATGTAAAAATTGTTTGAAAAATGTTTCAAATTATCTGTATTTTTAATCTAGCTAGTCAGTTTCTTTGTGCAGGTCAGTCATATGGACAGCTTTATTCATACCCAGCCAACAGATGGAAAAAGAAGAAACGACTAGCGTTCATGAATACAGAGAGTCGCACAAACAAGGCCAGTGATATTGAGACTGGAGAGTCAGGTACATATTTATGATTGGTAGCTGAGTTTTTAAAAACTACATTTGACGTTTATTCAATTGTAGGTCATAAAATGTATATTCTTGTAAAATACTTTCACTGTAAATAATGGGGGGGGGATAAACTTTTCCATGGACATATCTTTGGGGGGTATAATTTAATATACACATACCATCATATTTGACATAACTTTATCATGAATGATGTGATACACTTTTCATTTTTTCTTCAACTCTCTCTTTGTGTGTTATACACCTAGTAGATATGCATCAGATAAACACAGTGGAGAACCCAGCAATATGTAAGGAAGAGGAAGGAGAAAAATTCAGTGAAACCAGCAAAGACCGATGGTACGATGATTTTGACAACCTAAGTGAGCCTCCAGATGCAGGAGAAATGGTGGATGATCAATCTGACATCAGCGACTATGAAGAGACCTACATCAAAAGGAAGAAAAAGAAGGTCCGTCTTGAGATTTCTGTAACTACATACATTTGTATTATAAATCATGTTGATATAAGTTGATGTTAATGCATTTAAATGTGGTTAAAATCATTGATTTAAAGTACAATGTGAAAAAGAAATTGTCTTGATGTTACTGATATACATACATGTATATAGTTTACATCCCCCCCCCTTTTTAACCTAAGAGTGGTAAGGGGGCTGTGCATTATCAGGACACATGTCTAATCAATGGATTAGCAGACCAGTTGATTTCTAATCCTTATTTGTAATGATAGGGTACAGGACGTGGCAGGAAGAAGAATACGGAGAAGGAGCCGCCTCAGATTACAGAGGATAAAGACAAGCCATACTCTTGTGAAGGTCAGAATCAAAGTCACAGATTACTCCTTATCAGGAGTTTGCTATTTGCTTTCAATCTGTTTGTAGAGATTCAGTTCTTTTATTTTTGCTTGACTTTTCCATTTAGACATTTTGTTAAATGACACTCTTAGACTGTGTCTTGAATTTACACATCATGTTTATAAGCTCACCAGAGACGAAGGCTCAAGTGAGCTTTTCTGATCGAAATTTGTCTGTCGTCATTTTCGTAAACTTTTCACATTTTCATCTTCTTCTCAAGAACCACTGGGCTAATTTCAACCAAACTTGCCACAAAGTATCCGTGGGTAACGGGATTCAAGTTTGTTCAAATGAAGGACCATGCCTTCTTCCAAGGGGAGATAATTATGAATTTGTGAAAAATTAATGGCATCATTTAAAAATCTTCTTCTCAAGAACCACAGTTCTTGAAAAAATGAAACTGATATGGAACCATCTTCAGGTAGTGTAGATTCAAATTTGTTCAAATCATGACACCTTGGGGTAGGGTGGGGCCACAATGGGTGATCAAAGTTTTACATAGGAATATATAAGAAAATTCTTAAAAAGTCCTTTCAAGAACAGCAAAGCCATGATAGATCATATTTATATGGAAGCATCCTCAGGTAGTGTAGATTCAAATTTGTTCAAATCATGACCCTCAGGGGTAGGGTGGGGCCACAATGGGTGATCAAAATTTTACATAGGAATACATTGGAAAAAATTTTACATAGGAATACATAGGAAAAATATTTAAAAATCTTCTCAAGAACAGCAAAGCCATGATTGGTCATATTTATATGGAAGCATCCTCAGGTAGTGTAGATTCAAGTTTCTTAAAATCATGACCCCTCAGGGGTAGGGTGGGGCCACAATGGGCGATCAAAGTTTTACATAGGAATACATAGTAAAATTTTTAAAAATCTTCTTCTCAAGAACAGCAAAGCCATGATTAGTCATATTTAAATGGAACCATGCTCAGGTTGTGTAGATTCAAATTTGTTCAAATCATGAGAATAGAGGGGCCATAATAGGGGATCATAGTTATACAAAGGAATACAAAGGATATATCATTAAAAATGTTCTTCTTAAGAACAGCAAGGCCATTATTTGTCATATTAATTCAAAAGCATCCCTATGAAGTATAGATTCAAGTTAGCTCAAATCAACCCCCTCCCCCCCCCCCCCCCCCCTTCAACCACTTTTATATTTAAACTTTTCAAGAACTGATTTCTGCTTTTTCCTAGACAGAGTGCTGAGGTGAGCGATGTGGCCCCTGGGCCTCAAGTTTTTATGTACAGCTGTATTCAGAAAAAAAAACCCTGGTATATTCTTGTTTGACAAGTATGGTTTAGAATGTGAATATTCTCTTAAAGATATACACGCTATATAAACGCGGTTTTTTATGTGAAACAAAATGATTAAAGATTTGAGAAACATGTAGTGTAATAAAAAATAATTACTTTCCACAAAGTTTTACTAAGTAAGTCATTGTAATTACAAAACAATTAAGCAAGATCTGCAATTAAGAATTCATCCTATTCATATGAATACCAGGTATTGATGAAGGAAGTGCTTAAACAGTATATAGACATGCATGTCCGCGGGAAATCATAGACAACGAGGTACGTTGCATTTTGTCTACAATTTTGAATAAAAGTTAATATCTGTCATTACAGACTAGATGGTTAATACTGGTTGTTTTCAAAGATAAGTATCTTTAAGCATAAAACATTTGCCATCCATGTCAAAAGTTATTTTGTATACCAAACGGCCTACCTCATTTTCTTTACGCCATTTTTGTTTATCAATCTAAAAGTAGCGACGGTGTCACATGATGCATGAATTTAAATAGAGGCATTACTTTCCTAGTAGGATAATAAATAATTATAATTTGAGATTTTTATAATGAGTTCATTTCAGATTTTGTAATCTACAATATTTTCGTAACTTCATTTGGTAAACAAAATAAATAAATTTCCCACTTTATTTTTAACCGACGCAAGTTATAGTGTGTATATCTTTAAGTTTATCTTGAAGAATTACTCTAAAAGATGGCTAAGAAAAAAAATTGTTCTTGAAACATGGATTTCATTAATTAGTCTTACCTTAAGAGACTTAGACAAATCTTAACAGTCATCAAATTTTTAGTAATACATACCCATGTAATATTGTAAAATGGCTACTTGATTAGTACATGTCTGTTAAGATTGAACTTCTTTAATATAGCATGTTATGACTTTTCTACTATAACTCTGAGTTAATTGCATTTCACCCATTTATCCAACAACTGAAGACCTGAGCATGGAGAACTACAAACTGATTATACAGCGTCATTACGATGTCTATCTTAACTTCCTCCTCTTACACACTGCACAAACAGCTGACTGGTTTTTCAGACTTTTTGCACAGATTGATTTGCACATTGAAAAAATGATTTGTAATTCCTACAACACACAGAAAATAACATAAAGTAATTATTTAAAACACTGTGGGTCCATGATGAAATGTGATGAGGTGATTAATTGCTAATGGGCATGTGTTGTACAGTAAGATATAAGCCCATTGAACAGGTAAGAAGTAAAAGACAGGCTGTCAGGTGTAACTATAATACCTTGTTACAGGACGGACAAAGTCATGGAAAGGTGATGACTGCATGGAGATTTTTGTGCTTTTTTGTTTTATACTGCACACAGTTAATCACCTTTGTACTGGAGAGTGGGTCGTGCAGACAGATGCATGCCAATACTGAGACTGTAACAGTTCCCTGTGTCCAACTTTAATCTGCTAGTCTGGCATCTTCCTAAGGAATGACTGCGTAGTTTAACATGCTTCTCTGTCAGATAATCTAGCAGAGTGAAAAAACTTTAAACATTAAGAATGGGTTTCCAGACCATGAATATTATTTTATTATTCTCTTCTTGGTCAGAATTGACCATAAAGAGCCTCAGTATTTCTTTTGAAACATAATTGAATGATACTTACACTTAAGTTTGGAGCAAAATGCCATTTAAAACTACATGATAATACCTTGAAAGGAAAAGTATTGGTGAAATGTATATGCATGGAACTTTCACTGCAGCAAAAATCTGTCTAAAATACTGGCAGAAACTTAACACACACTTAAAAAAAAGTTGCTGGCTTTTTATGATTGCTAAAGAATAATTTCTGTAAAACATTTATTAATTGAAATTGCACACTCTTTGCAAATTTTCTTGCAAGCACATACTATGTACATGTATCTAAAACATTTTTTTTTTCTGTATTTGACATTTGTGTAAATCTGCTTTTCATATTTAATACTTTGTGTTTTGTTGTACATTCTGAGCTTTTCATAAGCTTCTTGATAGTTCAGGAGAACAGCTAGGCAACATGGAGCTTGCTTCCAAAAAAAAAAAAAAAACTGCTTACAGTGGAGATATGTTTTGTATTCAAATCATACAATATCCCCATTATAATTGTGCATTAAATGTGTTTTATATAACATCGAAGGAAAAGAGTAGATTTTTCTTCAAAAAATATTAAGGGTATGGTAATTTGTTTTTGTTTCTTTTTGTACATTTCTGTATGCTGTACTTTTTTAAAAAAAAAAATCGTTTTTAGGGTGAAAAAATTATATAATTTTTTTCTCTTTAATTCATTTGCCAAATTAGGTATAAAACACTTAGGATTGATTGAAAGTCTACAGAAATCAACAAGTTAAAGTGTAATAAATAGTACAAGAGTAGATGCATTGAGTACTGTATGTAATGACCTGTTGTTGACTAGCTGTTCTATTTCTGATGGACAGCTTGTGGGGCTAGATACAAGACAAGACCAGGTCTACAGTACCATTACAATCATTTCCATAACGGCATGATCGACGATGAAACGGTTCCCTCACCTAAGCCCCCCGCCCGGGCCTCCGGTCGGAATGCCGGTTTGTATTTCTAAACGCTGTGTCATGTTATGTGGCATGCACAATCACACTAATTCCATGTCATTAGGCAACTAGTTTTTTTATGCATCAGTTCTATATAAATAACAAAGGTGTTCACTAAGGGGTAAGGGAGGAAGGATTATAAAAAGGGATTAATACGATGTAAATATATCTGTAGATATGAAAGTACACGTAATACAATGTACGCATGTCTGTAGATATGAAAGGCCATGAAAAATTCTTCACTACTTATATTTTTATGTAAATTAACCTGTTGTATTAACAATTTATAAGTTTGTGGGAAAGCATATGTGTTTATTAATTTCAACAGTACAGATAATGAGAAATAAAACTGATGTATAAACAACTAGTTCCATCCATTTTATTGTGTTAGCTTAAACTGCTTCATATCCCAATAACAGACAACCTTAATGCTTACTCATTCTAGGAACGGGAAATAATTCTTTTTTAAGATATGTGTATATACACTTTACGTAGGATTATAAAATTAATATTTTGTGAAACATTTTATTTACAAAAGTTAAGGTAAACTAACAGCACATGGCTTTGAAAATTGTGATATGTATCCATAGCTCTTTTTCTGTACAATTTTTAATGTACTTTTCCCCCCATCATTGTCTTTTATAGTAATATGCATGCTTCAATATACAGAAATTGACACAATTTTGCAATATTGTATACTCTGTTGAGTACATGTATTTTGTATATCCTATTTTTGTGGTTTATGTCTGGTCATTTTGCATGCCGTTTTGTGTGTAACAATTTGAGACCGTTTTAGATGTAGACGATTAATTCGCCGTTTTTGTTTCAGTCATTAAGTCCCTGGTTGCTTCCTCATCTGGTACCGCGTCAGGTATTTGTAAGGCTGGCTATGGTTGTAGCGTTTTCTAAAATTACTCACATTATAAACAGCATCTTGATTGTTCTTTGTAAATCAGATCATACAGAACACATTATACTGCACCGTAACCCACACAGATATTTCCTATTTAACAACTACTAGATAGGCACTCTGACAGAAAATTCCAACTTCTATAGATGATGTAAGGGCTCAATCAGGCAGTATTTCTTTAACAAGAACTTTACATTTTTTCACTCACCGTTACTCAGCATCAGAAGTTTGATATTGACTCCATTCTGTTATCATTGTATAATCATCACCGTTACTTTACATGTAAAAGAAAGTTAACTATGTAGTATAATTGTGTATTATAATGACACGTGTACCAAACAGAAATTCCAGCACTATGACTTGCTATTAACATCATATGCTCTACAAAAATTAAAATGATGAAAAAAATGAGGTTTGAATAATATTTACTGGTTTTTAGCTACACTAGTTAAGACCAGCAGAGGTGACGTGTTTGTCGTCTGTCTGTCTGTAAAGAAAGTTCTTCTACAGTTTTGGTCTCTTTTAAATGAAATTTGTTACATGCATGAAGATACATAATTCAGTATATTTTGTTTTGATATGTACTGTTGCCATGGTTACAAGAATACAATTTTGTATAAAATTCTTTCAAAATGCTACTCTTCCTAAAGTTTTGGTTAGATTTCAATAAAATCTTGGTGCGCCAAATAAACTATATCTAGACTCAGAATTCTTTTCATTTTTTTCAATTTTTTTTTAATTTCGATAAATAAATGTTTCCATGGTTACTTAGTACGAGGGTAGAAAACATCAGGACACTTTCTCACAGATTTAATTCTGGGAATGTATAAAATAAAAAGTGTGTCAAGTTTAAATGCAACTTTTGTACGAATATAAGTACAAAGCAGTATAGAGCTACAGTTTCATCAGAAACTTTTTTTTTAATTGTTTAATCCATTAAATTAAATATTTACAGTGTATGTGTGCATTTTGTTTGATGAATTCTAACAGGAAAGAAATTTACACTTGCCAACAACACATTTTGAATTTGAACATTTTATTCAAGACAAGGAATTCTGTAAATATATTCAAATACTTAATGAAAACAACAGTTTTTGTACATTTACGATTTATACTAATAATACTATACAGTTATGGACTCGCTTGGTGGTTAATATGGTTTGATATTCCCCAGAAAATATCAATGTTGACCTTGGCCATTATTATATGTTTCTTAGACTAGTGAATATCAAACCATATTCACCACCAAAACAGTCCATAATTGTTTTATTATAGTCAGAATTTGAAAAAATAAGACAAAAAGGCTGCATGACAACAACATTTTCATAAACAAACTTGTCGCAGAAAGATTTAAAAATGTCCAGATTACAAGTTATAACTTCTGTGTTTTCTTTTCGTAGTACGTAAGACATCATTTCTCGGTGAAATGTTTTGATATTAATCTTGGGATAGGCTTGCCTAATGTTTTTCCTGCATAAATAAACAGCTGGCTCCAGCTGTTTCAGCAATTATTTACATGACTTAGGTGTTGATTGTGATGCCACAATTGCAGCTGCACACACGTTGACCCTCCAGTGAATACGGCCTCAAATCCAGTGAATATGTAGTGTTATGAACCGTTTGAGTTTGTATAGATTATATGTTACGAACTATAAATCGAATATATAATAAACCAGTATACAGTAACGAGGAATAATATTTCATGAAAAAGCATGGATATAGTGCATGTAAAGAGTTGTCAAAGTAGAATTCGATGTCCTACATTGTAAACTGTGGCAGTATGTAGGTTAATTAGCTTATTGGGCTTGGAGAAAAGTGAAAATTTTGTTTGAAATATGACAGAAAGTTATCATGCTTGAACATATAATGTATACAAAAACTTATTAATAAGATAAAAAAATATATGATTATGCTTTTAGTTGTCAGAAGTCCCATGTGGATTTTTCTAAAAATCATGCAATGCAGCTTTGTGAATGCTAGAGAAATGTGCATTGAAAGAAGGCAAACTGCTTTTATTTTTCACAATGCAATACAAACAAAAAATACTTATTTTGTATGAAATAGAAATCCCTGGGTTTCTTGTACATAATACTAGACAATGCATTTCAGAATGGACCCAGTTATAAAATCATTTTAAGATAAATCTTGTGTGTGACTGTTAATTTTTGTGAACAATCCAGCGTGTTGTTGGGGTTCTGTGTGTGTTGTGGGGAGTGGTATTACTTAATTTCTCATTAGATGTAGTCCAGGTTTTTGTTAATCAATAGTTGATATTAATAGCAAATCCTTCTTTTAATTTTTCAATTTTTGCATGTTAATTTCTATCATTATGATTTTCAATTTTACAACTTAATTGCAGAGTTTAGTTTTGTTTACCCTCTTTGCTTACAAATATATATATCTAAGCAGGATAATGACCAAGAGGTATTTTATAGAAAAAGGTGGGCGTTCTGGAATGGAAAAGCGAGACATCTCAGCCAACAATTACTGTGATTTCTGTCTTGGAGATTCTGAGGAAAATAAGAAATCAAATCAGCCAGAGGAATTAGTGTCCTGCAGTGATTGTGGAAGATCAGGTATGATACATACAAAATCAAAGCTGCATGCTCAAGGTCTGACAACTTGTTCCTCTAATATATCTGTTTTGTATCTTATCGTATTATGTCATTAACTTTTGATTGATTGATTTATGTTGTTTTGCATCCCATTCAAGAATTTTTCGTTTGTATAGAGACCTCAACATAAACTGGTCAAATTTAGATCTATACTCGGCACTCGAGGCCATTGAGCAGTGAGGGTTCTTTGTCGTGCCAATGCATATCGTGACACAGGACCTTGGTTTTTAAGGTCTCATCCAAAAAACCCTTGACTTTCAATTCTAATGCCAGGCGCTTGGCGAAGGAAGAGTAACTAGCTATGTTTACATCTTGGGTTTGATGCAGTGAGGCAAACGAGAATCGAACTCGGGCATGACCTGATCATGACATTAACTTTTGATTTCTAAACTAGCTGTTTTCAAAATGTCTTAAA